AATAGTGAAATGCTGGGGCAAATGTTAATAAATATTTAGCCCAACTGTTTTCGAACAATCCTCATATGAGCAAAAGTTGTAAACAAGCGCAGAATGTTCGGATAACATACATATTAAAATATATAACGTGGAAGCGGATGAGCTGGGAAAGTGGTTAGTATAGTGGGGAGGATATTTGGGAACTTATTCGAGGGGTTTCGGGAAGTGGATAGCAGCACTTCATTTGCACAAACGGAGCGTCAGCTTGACAGAAAGACAGGCGGTTTGGTTGAGTTGAATTTTGTGGAGGAGTCCTGCAGGATTCTGCGTTGGAATGAGTCCTGCCCCGCTGTCGTTGGTTGCACTCGTTATCAAAAGCGGTGGCTGTGCGTAAAGGGGTATTCATATTCGTGTGGTTAACTGAAATTCCTGAAGTTAATATTGAATTTATTAATTATTACAATCTGGAATTTAATTAAGTATCATCATATTTCAGAGAATTCCCTGAATTCTCGTGGTTTATATTTCAAAGGGACTCTACCCAAAATATATACAAATTTTAGAGAAGAATATTTGTTTTTGATTACCCGAATTTTAAAAATTTTATTTTAGGTAGTTTTAAATATAAACAATTTTTTTAGGAAATTATTTGGTTACAATTTATTTTAACAAAAAAAATGCTAATATATAGTTTGTTTTGTTGCAGTCAAACTAATATGGTAACTAGTCTTCCATACAAATAGTTTACTTATTTCTAACAAAAATTATAAAGTTAAAATAAAACACAGCTTTTAAAGTTTAAAATTCAAAAATATTAAAAGGAAAAACATATAGAGATTTTGAATCGTAAAACATAAATTTCTATTTTAAAATTTATCATAAGAATGGTATACATTTGTTTCTTATTTTTAATCTTCCATGACCATAATATTTATGAAAGGGTATCTTTTTAATTTAAAGTTTATCTATGCAATTTTATTATTTTATAAGTAGGGTATCGCAAAGTCCACAGTCCCAACTCATATTCCCATCATATTTTCCACTTTTCTCTCCCATTTCTTGTTCCCCGTCTGACTACAAACAAATGAAAAGTCAAACAGCGCACAGGTAGCATGGTTTCCCTCTGGATACACCTGAAACCCCAGATCCTGTGCCCAATTCTGCTCCTGTTTCTGCTGTTGCCGTTCCTGTTTCTCGTCCTGCGGCTCTGCACATGCAACTCCCTCGTATTTGTATGTGTGTAGCCTAGTTCCTCGTCCTGTGATACTCCCTGCCCCTCCATAAAACATATATATGTACAATATACTGCCAAAAAACAGCCCTCGCAGTCACCTAGATTCCAAGCCGCCTGCTACCATTTTCATTCCACAGCGACTTTGTTTTCCTAAATGACGCATTGTTCACTCACATATACATATATATACGCTCGTATATATGGTACTTTTGTACGCGTCTGGACCGCGTGTTTAATTTGCAAATTCAAAATGCGAAAAAAATAAAGAATGTTGTACGTACATTGTACATACATGTTGCAAAAATGTGCTGCAGCATTAAGCGTGAGCAGCAAACAAGAAATTTAAGTGAATTGCGGTCATTGTTCCTCACTTCGTTTAATTTTTTCTTGCTTTTATTTACTTATTTTTTTTATTTTGAGCACATACCATTACTGGGCCAGTTGGAATTAGAAATCCCTGTTTATCTAGACCAATCCAACCTATGCATAACATTGAAACTTCGCTTGGGAGCTTTGCAAGATAAGATTAGATAGGAATTTTGACATTCGATTGTGGATTTTTTAAGTGCGAGGAAGGGTTTGGCAAACAACTTATATAATTTTCGGTGTTATATCTCTTGGTGGCAACGGAAACGCAAAAGGAAGTGTTCATATCTTTTTACAGAGAAAGAACTATATTTTGATCGTTAAAAATCGATTATTATAAATAGGTATCTTGTGGATGTGAAAATTAATTTTGAAAGACAGAAAATTATTCTATTTTTTAACTATACATATATATACCCATGACTTATTATGGCTTTTTTATTGACGTATCTTAAAACATTTTCAAACAAGAAACTATTTCAAAAATTTAATTTATTTTATATATTTTTTATGTATTTTAATAGTTAATTTATGTTATTTAATATTTTTAAACCTTTAAAAAGCACAAAATGTTGTAAAATATCGTGTTTAAGCAAACCAAAAACGTTTACATTGTAGTCGGGATTTGTGTTGGGTCAAGGAAAAAAGGAAGCGCTAATTGCAGTCCGCACATGTTGCCATTTTTCCAACTCTTTGGCCCAATTTTTGCAAATCGCGAGTGCTGGTGATCGCTGGATCGGAATTGGTAATCGGGACTGGGATCCTTATCGCATAAGACTCGTAATTCTCCCAGGAAAAGGTAAAGGGGTTTTGAGGGGTAAAAAGGGAGGACGAGTCCAAAGTTACAGCTGCAGAACAGGACAGGATGGACATGAACGGCCAGAAGTGGAAACGCGAAACGGAATCGCATAAAACGGAAAGTGCAGCAAATTGTGGCAGCTGCAACATTTTGTGTGTGTGTTTTTTTTTCTCCTCGCTGCAGGTTCTCGTCTCCACTTTTTTCTCCTTTTTTTTAGTTTTTTTTCTTGGCTTTACTTTGCTTGGCCGTTGGCCTTTTACCGTTTTTATTGAAGGCACACAGTGCAACAAAGATAATGTGAGTGAGATGGCTAGAGAGGAGGGAGCGAGAGGGGCAGAGACTGGGGGGCAGGGGCAAGTGCAGCACGCAAATTGCAGTCGACAAAATAATCAGACTTTAATTGTCGTTCTGCAACAATGTGCAGAGGAACTTGAGGGAACTTAAAGAACCTCAAGGAACCCAAAAAGCGAAATTGCGGAGGACAAGAACAATGGGGCAAGATGACTCAGTTGACTTGTCAACCGAAATCAGACGAAAAGTTTCGACATTTCAAAGCTTAGGGGGTGAAATTGTGCATCAAGATGCGAAACATATTCATTTTTAGTGTGGGAAATTTTAAATTGCAAACATCATAAAAAGGTTGGAATTTAGTTATAAGAAACCAAAAGTTCCTTTGATAAAACTGGATATATTCCTAAGAACATTAAATTTTAAAAATACGCATTATAATCATAGTAATAAAATCCATAAATACTTTGCAACGTCAGTGTATAGAATCTGTTTTTATAACACTTATACTAAACTATTACAGTAAATATACCTATACCAAAATCGTTATAATTATCAACATTTATTTGTATCCATAAAAACTTATAATAACAAGCATTCAAATAATCATAAGCTAAAATTTAATCAAAAATTTAAGCCATATTAAAACATGTCTAATAAATTATATATCAGTAGTTCACAACATTTATTATTTCATCAAACAAGTCAGTTATAGAATTTCGTATGGAAAATTATTAAAAATAATTGCAGTCACAGAAAAAACTGTCAGATTTCAAGATACCGATGCCGTTAGACCTAAGTGCTCTTTAATTAACCCCAGCTAATTAATAACATATTTTCACTCACTTTAAGGCCTTAAAAGGCATACACTTATGTTCCTTTGCGTATGTTTAAAAACTGGTGCAGCTTTAGGCATATCCAGTGCATGCATAATAATCATCCACACACATCACAATCCCATCATCATCATCATCATCATTGTGATGAAAAAGCCCAGGTTCCGAGCCCAATGAACTTTCTGAAGCGCAACGAAATGTGCGCTGGCCAAAATGCAAAAAGCCAAAAGGACGCGCTCGGCAACAAAAAAAGAAACCAAAAGTACACCTGTGCCACAGAAAAAAGAAATAATAAAAATAAAAATAAAAGAAAGATACAGCGGCGGGGCAAAAAAATGGCGAAAAAAGGCAAGAAAATGACAACGGCGTTAAAGGCAACTGAAATACGCTTATGCGATGGTATAAGTGTGTGTGTGTTTCGCAAGTGTGTGTGTGAGGGGCTTTACAAAGCCAAAACCAACTTGGCAGCATAACTTACAAGCCAAAAAAAAAACGAGAAAAAACAACAAGAGCAGCGGCAATAAAAAGCCAGAAGTGAGTGTCCTTTAGCTCATTTTTTGTGCTCTTCGTTTTTTATTATTATTTTTTTTTTCGCCGCTTCCTGCCTCGCTGACTTGGCCGCTCATTATATAGTCAAAGACCATAATTATGTGTTGAAGTTTGTAGATGTTTAAGGCCAGAAAGGGCAAGAGAAACGGAAAATACAAAAAAAATAATACGAGACAACTTTTCAGGAAGGATATTTGTATAAGAAACTCCGAAACACCTCCATAAGAAACTTTGCTAACATCATTTATTTCTTCTTCTCAATTTTACAGCTTTTAATCAAAGGATTTGAGAACAACGGGCGCCACAACAACAACAACAACACTTTGGAAGATCTTTAAACAACATACAAAATAAAAACCCCCCTTTCGGCCCACAATCAAAATTAAACGCCAAAAACCAACAAACAAAACAAAAGCATAAAATGAATTAAGCTAAACACACAACTTATATGAAATATAAAATATTATTACTATTAAAGCCAATAACAAATAACGCGCTAATGTTTAATTAATTGTTAAGTCCAGAACCCAAACAAACAAACAAACGGAAGACAAAGATTTTTAAGTCTACGCATTAAGTAAAATTTACTAGAAATAAATAAATAAATACTTAAATTATTTTTATATCCGACGACATATTAAACAAAGCAAATTCAATTGAGAAACGAAGCAAAAACCAGAGTACAAAAACTTAATCAATTTACAAACAACAACAAGCAAGCATCAAATATTATCAACAACAACAAACAGCAAGTAATTAATAAAGTAAATACAACAAGAACAACAACGCATACAAAATACAAATTTTACAAATTACAAATTTACAAAGATTTTTTAAAAACATTTAAAAAAAACAAAGTCTGCTACAAAAAAAAATCAAAATATCAAAAATACAAATTTTTGCCTAGCTGCCGTTTTACAAACAAACAAAAGAATAAAGTACAAAACAACCAACAACAACCAATCTTAACAAAAAAATTTTAAACAATACAATTTAATAAAAGCACTTTACAAAAAAAAAAGGAACACCATATAACAAGTAATAATATTCAACTTTGCATTAAAACACGCAAAACCAGTGAGTTCAAAAAATAAACGAAATACAAATCTTGGAATCTTCAACTTATATAAATAGTATACAAATATATTATACGGATATAATCAGAGTGTTTTACACTAGCCAACAAATCAGAAAAAAGCCAGTTAAATCAGAAACATTTCGAAAAGAAGAACACTACCTCACAGAGCAGAGAAATAAAAACGAAAGTCAACCGAAAAGTGTACAAAAAATATAACGAATCTTAAAACCAGTACAAAGCCCCGCAGTTTTCAAAGACAACTGCATAGCCATGCCAGTGTTTGAGCTTAAATGGCGTCTTCAATTTTAGCCCAGAGCAGCACAGGTGCTACCGTCGACAGCAGCAGTTTGGGAGCAACTGCAGCAGCAACAGCAGCAGCAACATCTGTGGAGGCCACCGTATCCTCACTGCACAATACCCACTTGAATCAGCTGAGCAGCCTCAGTCAGCACTACACTACCGCGTACCATCATCCGCATCCACATCCGCATCACCACTACCAGCAACACTATCCCCAGCAGCAACACCTCCAGCAGCAGCAGCAGCAACATCAGCAGCAGCAGCACTGGGACTACTATGCCAGGCAACAGCAGCAGCAGCAACATCATCAACAGCAGCAGCAGCAACAGCCAGCGGCCGCCACCAGCAACACCAACGGCAACAGCAGCAGCAGCAACACGAACGACAACTGCAACAGCAACAGCAACAACACTACGGTTCCAGCGCCTTTGGGCAGCAGCAACAGTAGCAGCAATCATGCTAATGCTGCAACCGGCTGCAACCCTGGCCAGCGGCAACATGGCGATGCCAATGCCAATCCCATTTCCGCCGCCTCCACCGCATTAGGAGATCCGGGTAATCCGGGTAACAACACAACTAGTAACGCCAACGCCAACGCCAACGCCAACGCCAACTCGAATTCGAACTCCAATTCCAATTCGAACGGCAGCTATACGCGTCCCTGGGAAATGGAGTCCAAGGACAATGGTCCACAACCCCAGACGCAACCCAATCATCTGCAGCAGCTAAAGAGCGGCTTTGAACCCTTCTCCAAGTTGCCCTCGTTTCAGAGCCAGTTTCATGGCTTCAATGAGCAATTACAACCAGATGGTACACCCATGCCAGTGCCCCTAGTACCGCCGCCTGGATCGGCAGTCACAGCTCCTGCGGGTTCAGTATCCGGCTCCGTAGGACTAAATTCAGTATCCGGCTCCGTAGGACCAAATTCAGTCTCCGGCGTTGTGGGTCCAACAGCCATGAGTTCCCTGCAAACGGTGGCTATGTCGCCGGCCAGCATATCGGTTAGTTCGCCCGGCATGATGAGCGTGGGCTCACCTTTGACCCAGCTATCGAGTCTGCAGACCAGCATCACACCACCCTCAGCGGGCAGTTTTCCGGCGCCACCGCCGCCGAATGCGTTTGCCCATGCCCACCACGCCCTCAATCCGCACCATCATCATCATCGAGGAGCCACTGGCTATCCCACACCCTATGCGGAGCTACCACTCTATCCGGGATTCACCCCGTTGAGTGTCAAGAAGGAACCAGTATCGGGAGGAACCAGCGACTTCGAGATGCTGCTCAAGAAGGAGGACTTTGATCTCAGCAACAGCGGCGGACTGATCCACCATCCGTTGCAGCATGGCCAGCCGCATCCCATACCGATGGGCATGCACACGCCCACTTCGTACGATGGCAACAACAGCAACAACAGCTATCCGCAGGCGGCTGGCAGTGGGAGTGGCAGTCATACGCCGCACACCACCAGTGCCCAACAACAGCAGCAACCCACGCCCACTACCACCACGCCCGTGAAGGTCGAGAAGCTGCTGCAATCGCCCATCGCCCGGTTGGAGGCCCGGAAGAAGGAGCGCCGGAAACAGCGGCCCAATTCGCTGGAGTCCAGTGCCGAGAGCGAGGCCAGCGGCATGGACGTAGACCCCAGCAATCCTGGCCAAGTGGACGCCGTCTCCAGCACGGCCAACTTCAAGAGTCCCCTCAGTGCCCTGGGCATGGGGGATAGCAACGATGCCAATGCCAGCGGATGCGACAAGCAGGTAAGTGACCGGTGGGTGGGGTGGTTGAAGGTTTTGGGATACATCCCTATCGGTACATTTAAATTGAATTTTCTTAAACACCCTAAAGGACTTTACTCTGACAATGAAAAAAACTATAAATAAAATTTTATCAAATAATTAAATCAAATATTTAATCGATATCTTTAAAAATCAAATAATTGATCGATATCTTTACAAAAGCTCTGTTAATAAGTTTAATATTATGAATAGATTAAAAATATTTATTTTGAAACAATCGATATCTTTAAAGATCGATTTTTTTACCAAGTATTATTGACTGGCTGAATGCAATTATATAAGAAATGACATGATCTCTTTTTGCAATGGTTTCATAATTTATTAAATGTTATTACTGACAATTCTCTTGATATTCGATCAAGTTATCGAAAATTAAAGCCTTGTAATCGATGAGTCAAGAATATTAAATTATGAATGTTCTCAAAGTAAGTCGATATATTAATCGATTTGAATATATCCATATCGATATTACCGATACATCCCAATAATCTGCAACAACTCCGCCGCTTAACGAGCGAAACGGGGCGAACTGGCAACCGCTGCGATTAACAGGACTACGGTCGTCGCCACCATCTTCCGCCACCCACACTGCCACTGCCCACCAACACACCCACCACCCACAACCACCACCCACACCAGCACCCACACCACCACAACAACCACAACCACTCCAACGACAACAACTCCTCTCCCTGCTCTCTCTTTCAGTCGAAGAAGAAGCGCAAGCGGTGCGGCGAATGCGTGGGCTGCCAGCGCAAGGACAATTGCGGCGAGTGCGCTCCTTGCAGGAACGACAAGAGCCACCAGATCTGCAAGCAGCGCCGCTGTGAGAAGCTCACCGAGAAGAAGGTGAGTTCATGCTTGGGTTTCCCATCCTCAGACCCCCAGATCCCCATCCCACTGAATGCGAAAACGGTGTGCATGGAGTATCTCACAGATTCATTCACAGGCAAAGCAAAAGTTACTCAATGAAACTGATGGGCACAGTGGGTTTTTGGGATACTTAATCAAGTGGAAGTGACATCCCCTAAAATTAGTATAAGAATTTATTAACCAAAATATATGTCTTTTGTTTACTTAGATTCCCCAGATAGGACAATCACTAAATTTAATAGTCATATTTAAAATAGCGTATTGAAAATATATGTAGTTTGAAATTTTAAGAAACGAATAGACTCGTATTTTCTGATTTATAAGTGGATGAGTAGGTTTATAAATATTTAATTAAATACATATTTATTTACTGAAAAGATTTAATATTAAACGTATATACAACGACTTAAAATAAATAATATACGAAAAGTCTTTAAATATAGGATGGTGACTTCAGACCTCCGATTTCTAAAGTGAAATAACTCTATGATATTCAACTGCGAGACATAAAATTTATATAGGAAGAAAAAAATTTAGGATTTAAAAAATATCAAAGGTTTTATTCATTAACAAGCTAGTATATATAAAATTTGACCAAAGAACCTTGACTTTCAAACCACTGTGCCTAAATGGGCAGCTGGGAATCGGTTGAAACTGGTTTTGGTCCTCAAAAGAGAGCCGGCGGGCAACATCCACATCCACATCCACATTCGCATTTAAGATTCGCGGTCTTTCGCACCAGCGGTCAGTCACTCAGGATTTATGTCAGCGCAACAGATGTTCCCTGGCCAAGTGCCTCGTCCCGACTCTTTCTGCCCCCCTGTGCAGCCATCTCTTTCTCCAGCTGCCTCGATTTAAGATTTGACTAGTAACCTACAATGGGAAGCAGTGTGTGTATGTGCCCAAGTGCCTGCGTACGAGGTGCACTCAAGAATCCGAGTATCTGAGTATCTCAACTGAGTGATCCGACATCCGCGCATCCTCCAGATTCTTTTGCCCTCAGCTTACCAGCTCCTTTTCGAAATCACTTAAGATGTCGCAGCCGCAGGCAGAGCGTGTCCTTTGAGCGGTCGCAAATCAGGTTGCACATGTGTGAGAGAATCTGGGATCTCAAATTGCGCCCTGTGCATGTCGTCACTCCAATTGAGGATTGCCTGGATGTGAGGATTCGAGGTGAAGTGGCGGCTCTCGGGAACAAGTTCAATGGCCCAAGGACCACTAAGGAGTTTCAAGTGATCTGTTGCCAAGGATACGTGTGCATCTCAATTTTCTAAACATATCGGTTCTTAAGTATAATAAATGGGAATGGGGATAATAGGTGTTTGGAATGTTAGTAATGCCATTTAGAGATTAATATCTTTGTTTAAAGAAAGTGTTTTTAAACTTTTCTTAAAAAAATTCAAGTTAATATGTTAAACAATACTTTAGCAATTTATCATAGTGGGGTTATTGAAGTTTATGAAGAGTAAATGGCTTTAAAAAGCATTCTCATGATACATTTAACTAGAATAGTTGTCTACCTTTTTATTATGGTACCACTTTTAGCCATAATTTTATTAAAATACTGCTATATATATAATTGCCCCAATTAAGTTATTTAGTTCTTTCTTATGTCAGTTGTCCAAGGTCTTGTTTCAAAATTCCCACAGCCGGTTGGCAAATCTCGAAATGCCGTCAAATAATCTGGGTATTTGGAGTATTCCCAATATTGACAGACGCTTCCATTTTGCGGCGTTCTATTTTCTCGGTGCCTTAGTATACAAATACAGACGTCCAAGAACAACAACAACGAACAACAGCAACAAATGCCCAATGTGCCATATATATGTATAAAAATAAGAACAACAATAAAAATAACGATAATAACGAAAACGAGGCAACGAAAACAACAATAAAAGGAAAGGAAAGGAGCAGATGTTCACAAGTTACAAACGCGGCTTTTGATCGCACACACAGATACAAATACGCAAAGACATACACAGATACACAAACAAAGCGGCACACACAGATACACGCAGACAGACAGACAGAGATAAATAAATAAGCGAGTGTGCGCAGCGTTTTGTCTCTCAGTCGCGATCAGCGGACTGCAAACAGGAAACAAAAAAAAGAAAGAGACGGGAATAGTGGGTGCAAAAGAGAGGGGTTGATACTGCGAAGAAAGAGACAGAACGAGCGGACAATTAAGGTTGACAGGAGCGAGGAGACCGGGCGCTACACAAAAGGCCGTCAAACGAGAAAATGGCACGCAGAGATCTCTACTTATACCGCTTTATAGATACGTTACCCCTCCTCCCCTCCTCTTCATGAACCCCCCTCTTCCCCCCTCCCCCTCTATAAGCCACCTCTTTTTCCGACGACACACATAGATAAAGTTGTAAATTTCGCAGTTTCACCGAGAAAAGAGCAACAGTTGACATGTCAATATGGACAGGGTATCTTAAAGATACGCGTTGCGATAGTGTAACGCCAATTTGGAGTAGCTCCTTCCTCTTCTTCCCCTTTAGGCTCTTCTTCTTCTTCCTCCTCTTTTTTCTCCTGGGACAATTGACGCTTTAGTTTTTATATCTTCCTTTACTTTATCATCGCCATCCGCAACATCATTATCAGGGTTTTCATTGTCCAACTGCCTCACATGTCGGCTGAGCTACTGGAACACTATGTCACTGGGTTGGGTTTTTTTTTGTAGTCTTAAGAATGTGCTACATTCTTAGATTAAAACCATTTAATAATTACATTTTTTATATTTTTGTATATCAATATATGATACTAACTTAATGCTCTTCGATTTATACAACAAACAATTTAAATAAGCTGCCTAAAAATTAAACAGATATTTCTGAAAAAAAAATCTGAGATGCCTTAATAGACTTCATAGCAATTAATAAAATATACAAAATGAAAAGCTTAATACGAAATTTAAGTATACTTTAAATTACGAATATTTAAATACCATTGAAGCTTGTTAAATTATATGTATGTTCATTTTTAATGATTCTTTAACATATAAAATATTACTTTCTGTCCGGTTAACAGCAGGCAAAAAAGTTTTTAATCACAATAGCACCATCAAAAAACTAATCGGACTAAAACGATAAATTCAAATAGAGACCCTTTACATTCAATTTACTTGTAGGACAGTGTAGGTTAAAATTACTCATGTGCTCATATATTTATGCCTTTGTCCATGGACTTTATAATGACAAGGTTTTCGCGGCTTTTTTTTGCTCAGCCTGAAAGTTCTCAGCTAAAACTCACAGCTGGTCCCGGCTGCCCGACTTCGTTGGTCCGGTTTTCATTCTTAATGGCGATAAATTTTGAACGTGAATTATTTCATTCCTGGCTTTCCCATCGAATGCACATCAATGCACTTCTCCACTTATATATCTTATTTTCTCAAATAACTCATACTTTAAGATGAACTTCGAGTCAGTTTCCCTTTCCGGCCAGCTTTCCCTCTTGTATTTCTTCGTTTAATATTTTTTTTTCTAATTTATTTTTTTACTTTCCCAAATCAGCAGAAAAGACCTTCGGGCTTAGTCATTAACTTGGCTATTTGAATTGCTTAGTGAACTCACTCCCGCCTCAGTTTTCCACCGTCACTCCCCACAAAAATACAAAAAATAAGTGAAATCTCTGGACAGGCCTAGCTAAGAGGATATTTCCTGTGTCGCTCCATTTGTCTGGGGTACGTTTTTTTTCTTCTTTAAATATGCAGTTTTTCTTAGGAATTTTCTCATTAAAATTTGAACATTTTTTCGACGTTTTTTTCGCCTCCACAAATAAAAGAAAATCAACAACAAGACGAGGCAAATATTGAAAGTGTCTGAGTGAAAGGAAAGTTACCGAAAGCCAAAGGAATCAACCCCAAAAGTCCATTTGGAAGTCTGTCTTGTTGTGGGGGTTTGAGTGATTGACTTCATTGGGGCTGTCCAAGGATGCTTTTCACTCCAAGATCTGCTCCCCTTTTTTCTCGCAACTCTCGTTTCGCTCCAACTTCATTGAAGCAAATGCACTGGAGTCACTAAAAACCAACATATACAGCCATAGCAACTTAAAGGTTTTCGCTTCATGCATACAAAATGCTCGCTGGCATGCATATGCTCATATGAAACTCGCCGTATCCTTATCCTTAGTCCTTCTTTGGGCCAGGACGAGTGCATTGCTCCTACTTGAGGCCATATACACACACCAACACACCAACACCGTCCGTTCGTGACATACTCTCGGCAAACACACACCAACAGATAGAGAGAGTGGGCGAAAAAGGAGAGCACTTGTCAAGGTGGCTTGTGCACTGAGAAAAAAAGTGCGACTTACAATGGAAGTAATTTCTCAAATTCAATTAAACATTTTAAAATAGAAATAAGTTTGTACTTCGGTCTCAATAAATGTTTTTGTATTGTACTTTGTATTTCGTTTACTTTTAGACGCAATTAAAGGCTATTAACAAGTTTACTCAACTACAAATTTGAATATATTGTATATAATTGTATAAAGTTTAAATCAACTTTAGGGATTTTCATTTCAAAAAAATTTTAAGGTTAAGGAAACCAATTCCTTCAGTTGTTAATAAGTCTCGATTAAAAAGTTCAAATAAAAGCTTCAGGACTTTTTATGTGATCAGCTTTTTATTGAAGTTTTTGGTTCTAAATAGTTATAATATAACTAAATTTCTTCAAAGTTATATAAAACCGTATAGATTTAAAATTTTCTCTGCGACATCAAAGTGGCTGATTTAATTGTTGATATGCAGGCTCCAAACTTTCTCCCAGTGTCCGGTTTTTGGCACGTTGGCTTGCCAGCTCCTGGAAAACAGGATAATGTTCGTGCTCACACTCTGCGCTGGATACTTGGATACTTGAGCCACAAGAACTGCAACGCATATGTATGGCATGGCTTGGTGGTGGCGACGATGATGACGATGTTGGCGATAATGCCCTGAATGTGCTTCATTATGGGCATGTTGTGCAATCTGATACTCGGTCGTGGTCGTGCTCCTAGGATATCCAGTTGCACTTGGGCATCCTCTTTCATCCTGTGCCCTGCTATCTCCTTCCCCGATGCATATTACTTGCCACTTTCTGGCACAGCTTTTTGCCGAAAAATGGAAAAATATGTTTGGCCAAAAATTTGTGCTGTTGTTGTACTTCGGTTAATTGTCGCTTGTGGCCAGGCACACGACTTCGTCCTCAGATTCAGTGATTCAATCATTCAATCTATAGGCGGAGCAATATGTGCGTTTGTCATTCGATAAGTCCCAAAAGATGCTGCCAGGCATGCCTCCCATGTACTCCCCGCCCGAATTCTCAGTTTGAGTTTGGGTTTTCCAGTTTCAGTTTGAGTTCAATGCTCTGAACTCAGCTGGCAGATAAAGTTTTGTTTTTAGGTTTCAGCTGAGGTACACGGAAATAAAATGGGGAACCACAGAATAGTATTCTATTTATATTAATTATGGACAAGATTAAATTCTAAAATTTCGATATCAAATTAATACCCATAACTATGTTTTTCTGAGAATACAAAAACTAACCATAATTTAATTTTGAACCTTCAAAAGTAATATTTTGTAAAACTGTTAATATATCAAAACGTGACTTTTTTTATTCTTAAAACTGGAGATAAATTAAAATATAAGTGAAAGTGTCTAATAGTTCTTGTTTTTAAACAACATTCGTTGCTAGATACTCTTATATTATTTCTTAAACATTTTGAAAACAGTTTTTCAAAAACTTTGTATTTTTTATAATGAGAATTTATAGAATCAAATTTTATTTCGGTGCATCTGTGGCTGGAGTGGGCACAAAATCCTATTGAAAATTCCAAGCAGCTTCCGTTGTTTTATTTCCTCCTCGAAGGATTGCATATTCATCTGTTGCAGGGAGCACACACTATTACTCGTAGACCATCTGCAGAACTCCGCTTGCCTGCACATCTGTTCGCATTGTGCTCTATAGACTCAGGATTGGAATCGGAATAGGAATAGGAATCGGAATCCTAAGCCAGAATTCTAAGAGCATAACTTAAGCCCCATGCCATTGAAACACACATGCACGCACGCACGTCCATTAAAATGGCATTGATGAATGATTTTTCTGTATATTATTTTGTTTTAAGCAGCTTACGCTTTGCGGGGATTTATGTGTACTTCTTTTAATTGCCAAAATTGAAGCCATAACTTTGAAAACCATAATTTAACATTTTGCATTGTCTTCTTTTTTGCATTTGCCTTTTTAATTTTAATGGGTTCTCATTGGTGAGGCTGTTTGGGCACGCAAATTGCCGCCATGACAGCCAATTAGTGGGCTTATTTTTGATAGCCAGTCGACAGTCGGTCTATATACAATTTTACTATATGCCATTTTATTGTACATACATATATAGGGTTTTATTTTCCAGCATTAAGTAATTTTTGGTTTTGCTCTCCTCCCCCGTGCACAGATTTATTTTAATTTTAATTATTGCTAATTATTTTATGCATCACAGCTTATATGTATTTACACTTGATTTATTTTCATTTTCTATCTGTTTTTTCTTGCAGGAACCCAAAGCCAAAACCGTACGTATACATTTTCATGTTATTATATTTGAACTTGCAGAGGGACATTAAATAATTTTTTTTCAACTATGGCGTATTCAAACAAGAATTTTTTATTTCATTTAATACGCTTAATTTACCCCATTTAGCTTTTTTAAGCATGGGAAGTTTTTTAAGGTTTTGAAAGACTTTAAATAAAGTTTTGTAATGTGAAACGTTTGGTTTTGAAAGTGGGAAATTGTATTCATTTGTTTTTAAATGTTATTTAAACAAATTTAAGTGCTCGGGAAGTGTATATTAAATTACTAATAATTTGTTAGCAATATTTTTTGCAAAAAATATTGAAAACTATAAAAAATCTCCCATGAGATCTTTAATCTAAATTTGGGTTTTTTATCTGCCCATCTTCATTGTTTATCGCAATTATTAAATCTTTTTTCTACATACTTAGTGCTTAATATTTGTTTTGGGATGTTGTTGCCTTGCAGAATACCCATTGTTTACGCTGCAGATACAAATGTATCTTTTCATCTATGTACCGGTAGATCTTTTGTGTGGTAGTTTTGGTGCTCTTTTTTTTACCAGCACAATTTTTTGTTGTTCTGTTGTCTCCGCATAAATTAAATAATAAAATGCTTGACTCTGTCTGTGTGTGAGTGTTTGCCAGTCTGCGCAATTGAATGCTTTTGTTGCTGTATTTATGGAACAGATTTGCCGCTCATGTGGATGGATGATGATGATGGGATGGATGGATGGTTGGTTGGTTGGGTTGATCTGGTGGTTCTGATTCTGAATCCGATTCTGGTGGTGGTTCTGGTTTTTCAGTTGAGGCGGACTGCACACAAACGCACACACACAATTATAGTATGTAGGTTTATAAATCTGCGCTGATCATAAAGCGTTGTTAAATTTTAATAAATAAATGTTCACATCCTTGTTAAGTTGCCAGCAGCGCGAACATTTGCATTGATTGCACTAACACAGAACGGAAAGAAGCGAGAAATGCAAATTAATGTTATATAATTACGCATGGAAGGGAACACGCTGCGTATACTTGATGGCAATTTGCATAAGGGCAAGGCTGAGAAAGAGGGACTTGCAGTGCTTATCCTTGAAATAGTTAAAGAACAAAAGTACCGCATTGGGTGCCCTTCTTCGGTACTGAGTGCAAAATCAGGAAACTTTTCTCTCTTTTATTATTCAGCTCCTAATGAGAGACACAAAATATCCATCCCGTAATGAGGTCCTTGGCTGCTCAAGCATTATGCCGAGATCCTTGGGACTGGGCAGGTGCAATCCAGCAATTAAGCAATTTGCTGGCTGTTATTGTTTATTAATAAACAAGCAACAAAGCGAGACATACCGAACTCCGGCACTAATTGCCACAGCAACCCAGCAACTCGGGAAAGTAACCGGAAAATGTACTATACAGAGAAACCCCATCAGTTAGAGCCCAAATAGATCAAGGATATATCGCTGCACATGCAGAGTCCTAGAAGCGTGGAATCCACGGAACCCTTTTTTTTCTATTTCCGAAGTGCATTCTACCCGGTGCCGGCCCCCTCAGAACTTTTCACTGCCCGCTGGCTCAATTTAAATATCAGCGATGCATGGCCAAAAAGGGGTTAAACTTACACGGGAAGAAATGAGGTGTGATATAATTTAAAAAGTCATAAAATATATTAGTAAGATATTTATATGTGTACACAAAGTACTCTCGGAACCAAAAATGGGTTTTAAGTATTGACATTAATCATTAATGTTTCAAATTTTTAATTTTCAAATTTTTAAATATTTATTTTGACAAATCAAGAGCAAATTTTTTTTTGTTAACTAAATATTTTCTCACAGTGCCCAATTGCTGTGCATGTGTATCTGTGTGCAAGGTGCAATTGCAGTGCATTTTTCAGCTTGACCGACTCGTCGTCGTCGACGTCGTTGGCGGACCCTTTTCACGGCTTATATTCCTAACTGCGCGACAAACTAAGCAAATTCGCACCCCAGCAAAACTGGCTGGGAAAAGGAAAAGTGTGGGGCGGAGCCGGTGTCGGAGTCGGAGGAAACGGTTGTCATTTAGTCCAGTTTCCGAGGGGTTAAATGCAGCCATAGGCGAACAGATACATACACACGCCTATTTGAACGAGAATACTTAACTGTAATGGAATAGAGGGTCAGCAGGTTACAAAACTTACTAATTGCTGTCGGCCTTCGGCACAGAATGGTGGAAAAGTCAGCTAAATGGGGCACTAAACGAGGCCTGAATTTTGGTGGGGGGTGTGAGGTTTTTTATAAAAAAAATTACATAATTACGGATATAATTGAACTTATAATTTATCGAATTTTAATTGGTGCATATATTTTTTCTATAGAAAAACGTATCTCTTTCAAAATAGAGATCCTTTTAAAAAAGAGAACGTTGTCTTTCTCGAATTCAATATTCATGCTGTATATTTAATTTCAAAATAAGGTAGCAAAAATTTTCTTATTTATAAAATCTATATCATCAAACTATATCTCTAACAAAGTATAGGTCCTATTAATGTTCAATTTGCTTTCAAATATATCTAATTTTTAAAATATATTTAAAATCAAATGTACATCAACTTAATCTAGAGAATGTAAGTTTTCTTAAATATTTTTTTTAAGTAAGCAGATGACACGAAAATTTCTACTAACTCATTCTAGTTTTTTTTTTTCAAATTTTAATATGTAACGTTTCCTGCATTGCCTGCCAACTTTTTGTTTCCTGCTTTATGCCGGATTCCCTTTTTGGCCAAATCCGTTTAAGTCAAGTGAATCAAACAAAATCACAGAATTTGTAAAACGTAAGGCCAAGCCCGTCGCCTTACAATTTCAATTTCCAAATGTTTCCCGGAGAAAGTTGTTGCTTGTTTTCCTTGCTTGCTTTCTTTTTTTGTTGTGCTTTGCTTACAAAGTGCCTATCAAGCTGTAACAACAACAAAAACGAAATGATTGCATTTTGACAACAAAATGGGAAATGGAAAATTCGGGCATATTGTTACAACAAAAATAAAGGAGCAAGAGGAGGAAAGAGAGCGAAAACCGGGACGCACTTTCCAAATCGATTTTTGATTATTTTTGCTTATCATTCTGTTTGCTCCATCCCCTTTTCGCTTTTTTCCCCGGAAAAACAACAAGGAACCGCCGTAAATTCAATTTAATTTTCTTTAAATATTATTTGAGACAATTTCGCCAGCGCATTACAACGAAAAAAGTGGCACACCATTTTATCCACGCTCTGTGCTGGGTTTATTTTATCATGTTTACTTTCAATAACTTTCATATATATCCCCCATTCAGAACATAAACCTGGCAAACACAATATAAAAACAGCAAAGAAACAGCATCGCGATGAGGAAAACAAATTTCAGTTCCTTTGCTATTTATTTTATTTATAGCTGAGAGCCTTTTTTGCATTTGGCGGACTTTTGTTTGTCGGCGCAAATTGAAAAATATAATTGAAACAATAAATTGTTATGTTGTTGAGCGGCACGTGAAAGAGTTGCCGTGGATTATATGTATTTGTGCCTTTGCGCTCGACTTGCTTTCCCATTCTCCGTCCAAAAGAGAAGGCAAAAAATCAATTTAATTTCAGGTTTTTTTCCCGACTCCTGCTAACAACTAAAAGTTGGTCTCAGTTCTCTGACCAAAGTCAAGTCATTTGCCAAAGTACGAAAGTACGAAAGTCCTGCCGCGCATAAACATCCCCTAACGTGGGGGTGGTTTGCACTCAAGACACCATCGCGAGCGAAAGAAACGCAAAAAGAAAGAATTAAAGAAATGTTTTTCAAACAGCAAACAGCAGCAACAAAAAAATAAAAAAAAATAAAATAAAATAAAATAAAAAACTCCACAGAATCAGCACCAGCAGCAGCAACAACAATGGGCGGTACGTGCAACATGAATGCGCTGAAAAAATTTCACAGCACGTAGCTGGCAGTTGTAAAGTGCACAGGCAGAAATTGGGATGTACTTCGAAGTGAAACCTTAGCTCTTCCAGATATTAACCTTAATATCATTAAGGAGAAAATATTTTATTAAAAATATATATTTATTATGGCGCTTTATTTATGACCTTAAAGTTGTTTTTTTTTTAGCCAAAAAGCTACCTTTAGAAAAATGCAATTTATTTTAGCTTAATAATCTCTTCAGTGTCGGAAAAATTCAATTTTTTAAATAGTTGGAAAAAAACTTTAATTATAAAATATTTAGATCCAAAATATCAGTTTCATTTCCATACTATAAATATAAATTTATATGAATACCATAATAGATTTTAGGTAATTATTTCCTAAACATTCAATAGGTACACTTCTTTCAACCTCAGTCATATCGTATTGTAATTATATATAGGTCTTACAAATCAATACCTTATGATTTTAAAGGGTAATATTTAGTTCTTCTCAACACACCCATAGATACAAATGTGTTATTTTGTGCTGTGCAGGACATAAACTTATAAGCAGGACTTTGCACTTAGAATTTCGCAGTGTGTGAATGTTCGTGTGATATCAAACAATTTAGCGCATTGCATTACAAGTTGTTGGCGCAAAAAAAAAGAAAAAAAAAGTTGCGATGCAAGTTTTCTAATTGCAATGGCGCCCCCCAAAGGATATTAGGAGTGCATATAGATGGGGTTAACAGCGGGGCTTAACATGGGGTTAAGTAGGGGTTAAAGTGGGGGTGGATCTATGGGGAAACACAGCTCGCACGCACTCATAAAGTGTGCTTGTTGCTGTTGCTGCTGGCACATCATCAGCTATGCAAACAAATACGCATAAATATGCACGCACACACCATCCCACGAGTTTATGCAAAAAAGGAAAAAAAGTTATAACATGGAGGAGGATAAATAAGAGGAAGCTTGTGAAGAGGGAAAATAACAAACTCAACACGCATACAGCAGCTAGAGCTCAAGGTACATGTGCAAATATAGGCCCACATACATCACCCACAGCCCTTTCCCCACTTTCTTCTCCTTTTTTGCGCTCCCTTCAAGC